CGATGATAATGATGATGCTGGTAATGATAACGATCTCTTGCCAGGTAACATAGAAATGGTGTCGGGTCCAAGTTTGCAAATCTGTTTCATCTTTGCAATGTTCAAAGTTGAGAGTGCAATTTTTGAAGATTTTGCTGATGTTGTTGTTGCAAATTGTGCGGTAGTTACTGATGTGGCAGACGAAATAGTCATCAGAACATTCAAAAATTTTGTTGAAGGTTTCGCAGCAACAACTGTTGTAGTTGTTGGCATGGCTGAAATTGTTGTACTTGCAGTTGCAGTAGACAGTGGTGCAACTACGAAAGACACTCCCGTAGAATCTGTTGAAACTTTTGGCGCAGAGGTCGTTGCTAATGAAAAATCAGTAACAGAAGATTTAGTGACAGACGTTGGCGATTTCAGTGCAATCTGTTTGCCCTTGCTAAAACTAGGCCTCACAAGGCAGTTCTTTGGAGGTGATCTTGAAGGGAGAGGGAAAACTTTCCCAGGTGTTGTTAGATGCTTCCTTTTTCTCAAAACTACCGTTTTCAGAGAGCTAGCATTACTGCCACTACCACTGGAAGTATTATTGTCATCACCCTTGTTGTTAATGGTATCAAAAGTAGTAGCAGTAGTAACTGCAGCTGCTGGTGTAGTAGCGACAGTAGTACTAGATGAGTTAGAATATGATGATGGCGTTGAAATCAAAATCTCTTTGGGCTTATGTTGTATGGATGAAGATTTTGTAGTCGAGGCGGCTGTATCATTGTTTATGACACTGTTCTGTGTAGTTGAAATTTTCAGCTTTGTCGAATTTCTAACTGTATTCGCCTCTGAACTTGTTTCTGCTGCTGATGATGTCGCTGTAGTAGTTGATGACGTTTTCAAGATTGTTGATGGTGCTGATACTTTCGTTATCGGCCTCATAGAAGCCAGAGCATCGACAGCCAATGTGGTAGTTGATGCAGCTGCAGACATTGTTGATGTCGTTGCTGGCGATGTTACAGACATCAATAATGACGATGTTGACGTAGATGAAGACGGTAGCGTACTTTTAATCTTTCCAATCGCATCCGTTGACGACGAAGATGACGTCACAGATGACGTCACAGACGACTTACTAGTGGCAGCAAACGTAGGCA